TCTTTCTGTGATCTTACGGGTTCCGTTATTTAGTGCGTGTATATATATATATTGAATAATTTTTAAGATTATGGAATTAAATATTAATAAACGACTTCACTCTTACGAGTCGACGTTGACCAGTCAACGTCCGTCCAGGCTGGGATAGTTTGCTGGGTCCGTCCCTGATGGTGGAAACATTTTTGCTTCTGTTTCTACATTGTTGAATAGTCTGTGTACGCATGGGCAAAACTCAAATTGTCCAATTTTTTATTCCAAAACCAATTCATCTTACTTGGGTCTAGTTCATTTGATCCAAATTTAATTTTGAACAATAATTATAACATATCTAGTTCAGATAATTGAGAAGTATAAATAACTCATCGATGACATCATTTGTAAGCGATATATGTGTAATGAGTTGAAAGGATGTCATAATTCTAGGTTATAATTACGAAGAACAGTGACAGAAACCTATGTTTTACTGCAATCAAAACAAATATAATGCTACGAATCTTACTGCCCTTTTTCATTGTGTAATATACAATAATCTCTTTTCCTTTTCCTTTTAATATGTGATATAATGGTAACAACTCCAAGAAATTTAAAATTTTAACTGTACTAATCAATTCGATTACCGATGGTTACGATAAAAGTCACATGTAGCAATGTGATCGTGCTTGAATAATTAAAGCCTACATGATTTTTGTATTTGGCAATCGCTCACTACAAATATGGTCGAAATTTCATAGCATTAGGTCTGGAATTTATTGAACTTAATCACTACTTCATAAAATTTTATATAGTTAAACACGAGAGAAAAAACTTTGAACCCTAAAAATTTTCGAGTTAAAATTAGACTAACATCACCTAGTCGGAATCTACTGAACCAAACCATGTCACATTTATGTAGAAATGTTCCGTGAAACCATGCGAGCGAGTATATTAATATGGACACTACTATTAACGTGAAGAAAATTAAACTGACTAAAAGAAATTGCATACAATTTTCATTTTTCAATTTTTACTTTTCTTTCATTCTTCTAGTTTCTCAATACAAATTGAATTGTTACACTGGGCAGATGATCCCAGGTTCAGAAACTTACAAAGGCAAGCTGACAGGAACATGGACAGGTTTCCAACATCATAAGATATCATGTCTAGGTTCACTGGCGGACCCGGGGGGTTCATGGGGGGCATGTGCCCCCCCCCCCCCTCCCCCCCAACTTTTGAGAATTTTTCTTTTAAAGTCATGTTTGGTATCGATTAAAATCTAAATTTTAATCTAAATCAAAGTTAACAATTAATTTTAATAATATATTTCATGGAATCCATAATTGTTTGACTTTTATCAAAATTTACTAAAAATTAATTTTAATCTCCATCAAACAGTAGCAAAATCACAATAAATTTGAATTTCAATAACATGCTAATTTTAAAAATTTTCCGACGATCGTACGCTAATCGAATCTACAAATTCAATTATATCATTTCAAAACTTATTTCGAGAACTACATTATGGGCATATCGAATAGTCCAAAAAGATATCGAAAATGGTTAAAAATACGTTAAACGCGAGTCTTAAAAAAAGACTTCTAACTCGCATTTTTTTTAAAACCAATTCAATTATTTCATTAACATTTATTATTTTTACGGTACAAATTTCTCAATGTAATTTTCATTATTTTATTAGGAAATTTTATATGGAATATAACATAAAAAAATTTCAAAATTTTACATCCGAAAAAGTTATATCCCATGTAAATTTTCGGATGCAAAATTATGATTTTTTTTAACATAAATTTTCAATTGTAAAATTTCTCTCAACTTCTTTACAAGTTCTATTGTGTTCCCTAACTTTAAAGCTCTGCGTCTGCCCCCTGTCTAAGTTCAATGTACATGTGAATAATTGCCAAACTTTTACTACCTATATAAAGTGCACCAAATTTTCACAGTCACCTTAAAAAATCAAAGGCTCTCCAAGAAATTCAGCCATGGGAGAAGTGGATCCTGCTTTCGTCCAATCCCTTGAACACCAGCCTAAACTCGACATAATTGAAGCCGAAGGCATCCCATTAATCGATCTTTCCCCTCTAATCAATTCGTCTGATAATGATTCATCCTTGGCTAGTTTAGTGGCTGAAGTAGGAGATGCATGCAAGAACTGGGGGTTTTTCCAGGTGATCAATCACGGGGTGCCATTGAAGTACCGTGAAAAGATCGAATCAGCAGAGAGGAGATTCTTTGCTTTGTCGAAAGAGGAGAAGAAGAAGGTGAGTAGAGGAGAAGCAAATCCTTTGGGATATTATGATACTGAGCTTACTAAAAATGTCAGGGACTGGAAAGAAGTTTTCGATTTTACCGTAATGAATCCAACAATTGTACCAGCTTCTCATGTACCTGAGGATAGGGAGCTTAGAGAGTGGGTTAATCAGTGGCCTCAATATCCTCCAGAATTAAGGTTAGTTAGGATTGAAATATGCACTGTTAAAATTTTCATACGTATATTCGTAGGGGGCAGAGCTAAAATTTCAAATTCGGGTGAGCTAAAAAAAATTTGGGCTGGCCTTGAAGGTCTGTTTTAATAGGCTAAAACTAAGGTTTAGTATAGAAGAAAGCCTGAGTGGTTTAGAAGGGTATTATTATTCTGGTAATATAAATTGTATGCGTTTAAATGAATTGCCCTTTGCAGGGAGGCTTGTGAAGAGTATGCAGCAGAGATGGAAAAACTAACTTACAAATTACTAGAACTCATTGCCTTGAGCTTAGGCTTGCCAAAAACTCGACTGAATGGCTTCTTCAAGGAGCATACTAGCTTTATCAGGCTCAATCACTATCCGGTATGTCCCGTCCCTCAACTAGTACTGGGTGTTGGTCGACACAAGGATGCCGGTGCCTTGACCATTCTTGCTCAAGATGATGTTGGAGGACTTGAAGTGAAGAGGAAAACAGATGGAGAGTGGGTATTTGTCAAACCTACTCCCAATGCTTATATCATCAACGTTGGTGATATTATCCAGGTATCATATCTCATATCTGTATTTTGAAATTTGATTTTTGTGGCCTTAGTTATTTCATTTAATCCTGTTATGTTTTCTCCCTGTTTAGTTATGTATTATGGATAATGTTGAAGAGAAATTCTAGGTTAAATTCAGATACAAGAAAACCCAATAGGAAATTTCTCAAGGACCAAGTTGGAGAGAAATCCCAATGGGTTGTCTTGAATGAGTTTTCTTGTTTTTCATTTTTATACGGTAGCCTAATACGATTTGGTACATGAATATTTATATATTTAGGTATGGAGCAACGATAAGTACGAAAGTGTGGAACACAGAGTGATGGTGAATTCTGAGAAGGAAAGATTTTCGATTCCATTCTTCTTGAATCCTGCACATTTCACTTGGGTCGAACCTCTGGAAGAGCTGACAAACAAAGAAAACCCCAAATACAAGGCCTATAATTGGGGAAAGTTTTTTGTCACCAGAAAGCGCAGTAATTTCAAGAAACTTGATGTCGAAAACATTCAAATTTATCATTTCAGGATATAAACTTCTGAGGAAGTTACTTCTGTTCATGTGCCCGTATGAATATCTATATTTGTAATATGTGCTTATGAGTTACGAATACAGCTTTTGCTGGCTTTTGTTAACTTTGATCTTTGAATAAATAAAAATTTCAGAATCCTGGAATGATCATTTGAACATAGCAATGTGCAACTATACTCTTCTTGTAAACAAATGCGATATATGCAATAAAGTGGTAAAGGGTTTTATCCATCCATTTCTTTTGTCACGGGAGCTCAAATTCGTTCCAATGCATCAAAAAAATTGTATCTGCAACACAATTATTATGTATGAAAGAAGATAAATTGCATAAAAATGCCAACAACTTTTCATTTATCTTAAAAAAAAACTATAAATACGACAAGTAAAAAGGAGTTTACCATGAAAGAAATATTAGTTTTGGACTTTTGGGGACGGGTTGAAAACAGTAGTACTATTATTTACCTCGACGAACTTGCAACTGTAAATAATGTTAGTCGTTGTGAGACGCCACTGTTGGAGTTTGGCACAAATAAATATTATTTACAATAAGAAAATGTCTCTGCTCAATTTCAAAGCTTCAGTAAATTGCCCATAGAAGACGGAGAGAAACCAGTTGAAACTTGTGATGTTCATTGTCGTTCTCTGTCGTTGTTCCATAGGTTTTTGTAAATGATCGGGCTTTTGTCTCTTTCAAGGTGTTCTCTGTGATTTAAGTAAAACTAAATTGGACCATAAAGTAACTTATATTTTTGTTTAGGTCAGTAGTGATGAAAATAAGGAAAAAAAAAAAATTGATGAATTTTGCTCCAGGTATGGTGCCTGACGATTTGTTGCAAGATTGGACACTGGCAACTATGTTAGTGAGACCGATAAACGTTTAAAATGAAGATAACATGTTGCGGGAGATAAGGTTGTCTGGTGACAAATATGGATCAGCAAATTGAGTCTTTATAATATGAGTATTTCCAACACTGGATGATTGAACATAGCCCCTGGAATGAAGTTAAAAGATAAAAGGATCTGATCCCAGGTTCAGAAATTTACAAGAAGTAAGCTGACAACGTAACTTGATATAGGTTCCATAACAACGTATTGTGTCCAGGTTCACCGTATATTTAATAGTTGACAAATTATTGCAGCTAATACACGATTCAGTGAACCTAATTTCCACTGTTATCTTAGAAAAGAAACTATCAAAGTATCTTCAAACAATTCAACCCTGAGAGAAGACAATCCTGCCTTCATCCTAGCCCTTGAACACCAGCCTGAACTTGACGTTACTGAAGCCAAAGGCATCCCATTGATCGATCTTTCTCCATTGAATATCGCTGATACTGATGCTGAGTTTTCCAAATTTAGTGGCTGAGATAGCTGATGCTAGCAACAACTGGGTTTTTCCAGGTGATCAACCACGGGGTACCATTAAAATGTCGTCAGAAGAATTATCGGCGAGGAAATTCTTTGGTTTGTCGAAGAGGAGAAGAAGAATGTCAGTGAGATGAAGCATATCCTGAGCATACTAAAAATGTCAGGGGACTGGAAATAAGTGTTTGATGTTACTGTAATGAATCCAACAAGTATACCATCTTCTCATAAGCCTGAGGATAAGGAGCTTAAAGAGTTGATTAACAAGTGGCCTGAATATCTTCCAGAACTAAGGTATGTTTAGATTCAATGGAACTCCATAGAAATATTCAGGAATCTTCACTGTTAAAATCACATTGATGTGTATGTATTGTAGCGATTTCATCCCTGTTTAGCTTGATTTCGAGAAAGACAAACCAATACATACTTGAAGATATAAATAGATTAGTCTCACTTCTCTGATTGTTTAAATTTTTAAATAATTGACCATTCAATATTGTGGTATAATTAGTCTGGGAGGTTACAAGTTGGAGGGAGAAAATGAAATCAGATCGCCCCCATTTGCATTTACTCGGTATTAAGACTACATAAAATGTCAACCTTAAAAGAGAATCCTAAGCACTTATATATTGTTTAATATTTTTATAATTAACCGAAATGGATATTTACTCAATACTGGAGACCTCTTGAGATGTTACCGGGGTCCCAAGTAAGAAGCAAGGGTGTGGTGAAGGAAGTTTAGGTTCTTTCACTTTGACCATGTGAAAAATACTAAAAAGTTTCGTTGTATGGTATCAATGACACACACTGTAAAAGGAGAAAAAAAGAGTCCGACCTCACATGTTGTGTTGAAAATATCTGTAAATAAATGATAAGACATTTATCTGTTCACTTAAACTTTTAGTTAAAGTGGGATTCAGTGTGCCGAATTACTTTTAATAATCCAGATATATAGCACTGGAAAAACATTATTAGTCTGATAGTGATAACATAATTTGTGTGTGTTTAAACTTTAAGTGAATTGCCTATTGCAGGGAGGCTTGTGAATAATATGCAGCAGAAATGGAAAAACTAGCTTACAAGTTACTCTAACTAATTGCCTTGAACTTAGGCTTGCCAAAAACTTGATTGAATGGCTTCTTTTAAGGATAATACTAAGCTATATCAAGCTCAATCAATATCCTCCGTGCCCCACTCCTCATTTAGTGCTTGGTGTGGGTCAACACAATGACGCCAGTGACTTGATGATCCTTGCTCGAATGATTTTGGAGGACTTTAAGTGAAGAGGAAAACAGATGGAGAGTGGATTCTTGTCAAACCTACTCATAATGCTTGTATTACCAAAGTTGAGGACATTATCTAGGTATCATTTCACGATTCTGAAATATGATTTTTGCTGCTGTAGATATTTCATTTAATCCTATTTTAGTTCTCTCTGTTTAGTTATGTGGAAAAATCCTAAGGGCTTGAGCAAAATATAGGTTCTAGCCGTGCATAGGAAATTTCTGCTTGAATGAGTTCTCTGTTTCTTATATGGGTGCCTAATGCCATATGTTACATGAATATTAATACAGATTTGGAGCAACGACAAGTACAAATGTGTAGAACATAGGTAATGATCAGTTCAGGAAAGGAAAGATTTTCAATTCCGTTCTTCGTGCATCCTGCACATTATACTTTGGTGGAACCCCTTACGGAGCAGATAATCAAACAAACTCCTGCCAAGTACAAGGCTTATAGTTTGAGAAAGTTCATTGCCACCTGAAAACACAGTAATCTCAATAAACTTGATATCGAAAAAATTCAAATTTATCATTTCAGGATTCACACTTTAAAGAAGTTACCATGTTCATGGCCCATATGTATCTAATATGAGTTTGTGTACACGCACACTTACAAACCTAGATCTTTGCTATATTGTGTAAGCTTATGTTCGTGAAATAAAATAAAATTTCAGAATCCTGGATGGCAATTTGAACAGTTATTGATCAAACTTTGTCTCATGATACATTTGAGCTTCTTGTTCAAGTCCTACGATTGCTAGTGGTGTCAAAATGGGCCGGCCGGCAACCACACGGACCCTTCCAGACCCAGCTGGCCCACTTTGACACCAGTAGATATAGCTGACAAGTATTCTTCTAGAGGACATGCAAAAATTCACTTTCCTAGACTTTTACATGAATTTGAAATCCGTTCATACATCAGCTAAATAAAAGTCATAATTTTCTTTATTTATCTGTATGGATGTATGGCATTGTTATGGTTGTCTCAGTTCATTAATGATTAGAATAAGATAATTTTGAAATGACTTTGTCAAATTTGAAGGGTAGAATAAATATCATCTTTAGGTGATCCAAGGTTTGGAAACTTACAAAAGGCAAGCTGACACGTTACTTGGGATTGGTTCCATTATAACGTATTGTGTCCCAAGTTCAATGTATATGTCAATAATTGACAAAGTATTACCACTAATATATATGATTAATTGCACTAACTTCCACTGTTAACTCAAAAGACGTACGTATTATCAAACTATCTCCGAACAATTGAGCCATGGGAGAAGTGGATCCTGCATACATCCAAGCCCCTGAACACCAGCCTAAACTTATCGTCACCGAAGCCGAAGGCATCCCATTAATTGATCTTTCACCACTGAATTCATGTGATACTGAGGCTGAGTTTTCAAGTTTAGTAGCTGAGATAGGTGATGCTTGCAAGAACTGGGGTTTTTTCCAGGTGATCAACCATGGAGTGCCGTTAAAGTGTCGTGAAAAGATTGAATTAGCAGCGAGGAAATTCTTTGGTTTGTCGAAAGGGGAGAAGAAGAAGGTCGGTAGAAATGAAGTCAACCCTTTGGGATATTATGATACTGAGCATACTAAAAATGTACGAGACTGGAAAGAAGTGTTTGATCTTACTGTAAAGAAACCTACAAGTATACCATCTTCTCATCAGTCTGATGACAAGGAACTGAACCAGTTGATGAATCAGTGGCCTGAAGACCTTCCAGAATTAAAGTAAGTTTAGTTTGGATTGAACCGGATCCATTGAAATATTCAGGAATTTCAGTGTACTAAAATTTTATAGATCTATAGTGTATTATTTCATCATCTTTTTAGCCTCATTTTGAAAATGAAAAACTGCGAAAAAAAATTTCACTTCGAAACTATATCTACTCCATTCTGTTGAACAATTTTAGAACGAATTTATGTTGCTTGATCATTAGAGACTGAATTTCTCAGCTTAACAATCCAGACATATATTCCCGGAAAGGCATTATTACTCTGGTAACATAATTTGATGAACTGCTTCTTGCAGGGAGGCTAGTGAAGAGTATGCTGAAGAAATGGTAAAACTAGCTTACAAACTACTTGAACTCATCGCCTTGAGCTTAGGCCTGCCAAAGACTCGGTTTAATGGAATCTTTAAGGATCATGCTAGCTTTCTGAGGCTCAATCGCTATCCTCCATGTCCTGCTCCTCATTTAGTGCTCGGTGTTGGTCGACACAAGGACCCCATTGCTTTGACCATTCTTGGTCAAGATGAGGTTGGAGGACTTGAAGTGAAGAGGAAAACGGATGGAGAGTGGATTCTTGTCAAGCCTACTCCTAATGCTTATATCATCAACGTCGGTGACTTGATCCAGGTACAAATTTTATTTTGTTCAGTTATTATTTCACTTAAATTTTCCCTGTTTAGCTATGTATTAAAGATAAACTAAAGCAAAATTCTAGACTTCAATCACGAAATGAGTTTTCTTATTCTTATTTGGTTGCCTTATGTCACTTGTTACGAGAAAAATTACAGGTTTGGAGCAATGATGAGTATGAAAGTGTGGAACACAGGGTGATGGTCAATTCTGAGAAGGAAAGATTTTCAATTCCGTTCTTCCTGAATCCCGCAAATTCGACTTGGGTGGAACCCCTGGAGGAGTTGATAAACAAGCAAAACCCTGTCAAGTACAAGCCTTATAGCTGGGGGGAGTTTTTGGCCAAAAGGGCACGTAGTAACTTCGGGAAACTTGATATTGAGAACATTCAAATATCTCATTTCAGGATTTAGACTCTAGACGAAGTTACATCTGTTTATATGAATACATGTGTATGTGCTTTGTATCTATCACTTTGGCTTTCTTGAGTAAGTTTATGCTCTCGAGTAAGCTTATTTTCTGTGAATAAATAATATTTTCAGAGAGAATACAATGGCTACCAATAAAATTGTGAATTTTCTTCTTTCATGTTGTAACATTCCTGTTTACTTGTTATGATATTGTTCACTTTAGACCTAGCCCGTACGGTTTTGTTCTTGGGCTTTCATCCAAAAAGCCTCGTACCAATTGGGACTGGTCCTTTCACTTATAAATCAGTCTCATTTCCCTTCCCAGGCAATAAGGGGTTGTGGCTGCTACACATGTACTCCTAAAATTAAACCTAGAGATGAAATTCCTCGATTTCAATTATCAATTTGTTCAAGGGTAAGTATCTATCAAGGCCTTGAATTTATTAGCTCAAATATTTAGCATACTTACTGACCGTTCTGGTTCTATTGCTTCATGAAATTCTGATACTTGATTGTGTTGAAAAATCACACACAATAAAGCATGTTTGTGTGCGGCTTATTTCTAAAAAAAAAGTTCCAAATAAGCCAAGGGCTATCAAATTTATATTCCAGGGTATAATGGAGTTCGGTTAAACTGTCAAGTGGATGCAAATTTCACTTTTGAAGAGAATCCCACTGCCATTTTTTGCAGCAAGCCTTCCAAGATTTTTGAAATTTGTATCAACTGGAAACGAATACAATCTTATGTCACAACGATGAGGATATGCAAAATGAAATGTATTATAAGCATATGAACATCCTTTCACAAAGGTCGCAACTTTTCTATGACCGACTTGAATAGGAGCACGATTTCAATGACCACAGAACTTTCTATTCGTCCTTTGTTGAAAATTTCTTCTCTATTTGCTACAAAGGTTGATAGCATAAATCTTGCAAAGGAGA